CATCTTTGGTTACTCGGCAAAAATGATTGGAACTGGGTTGGGATGTTTTGTCACACCCACCATATAGCCCTGACCTTGCGCCTTCGGATTATCATTTGTTTCGTTCCATGCAAAACTGTTCAAATGGTAAAATTGTTAACAACGCGGATGATGTCGGATCACACCTAATTCAGTTTTTTAATAGCAAACACCAGACATTTTACGAAGGGGGAATTTTTACTCTGCCAGAACGATGGAAAAAGGTCATCGACAAGAACGGCCAATATCTAATTGAATAAAGTTATAATTTTAAACAAAAATTCCGAATTTGCCTTCTTATTTGAAATCGGCAATGACTTAGTTGCCAACCTAATATTTAAGTGCTGTAGCATCTTTGTAATGTAAACATAATGGCGAATTCGATAACTCACACAGATTCTGCATTCTTCTTAGCCTCTTCTCTTCCATCTACCGTCGTACTATTCTTCATCGATCCGTTGACGTGGCGTACATGTGAAAATGCATCATTGGAGAAGGCCATCAGTGTCCTTAATAGCACCTCAACTAATCGCACTGAGTTGGTAGAATTCGCGGAGAACTTCTTGTCAACTAATGCCACGTGTGTGGACTATGAAGGCAAGGAGGCCTGCGAATTAGCCGGTGGTGCCTGTCGAACAATCGTGGATGGCTACTACTTGATGTCTGGTGTGGGTTTCGTGTGTGGCATTGTCGGCTTCTACTTCCTGCATAAAATGTCCAAGTACTTAGATGGAAAGACTGTGGAGGAATACAGAGTGCACGAAAAGTCCGAATCACCTGAAACGTCAGAAAGTTTCTGAGCTGCTTAACTGATTTGCCTTATCTCGCACCATTATTGAATTCATTTGGTCATTTTAAAGACACCCACTCTTCTCCTATACTTTTATCATCTATTCTCATGTGTTTTCTCAATTGAGTATCCAAAATGTTGACGTCATGGTTCAATATTGACCTTTTGTTTTGATGAAGCTATCTATAGTCTCGATATGTGTCGAAACAGGTGAGTTTTGATAGCAAATAGTGGAATGTTTACTCAAATGGCTGCTTCAGTGTACGAAAGAGACGGTTTCATATCTCCTTTTGAGTACTACAGAAATCTTCTAGCAAGAATTCGGAGAAATTGGGTTGTAGGTTTAGAGCCATCGAGTTGTGTGGACGAAGGTGAAGAGTGCTCTACAACCTCAACGTCATTTCGCTTAGAAACAAATCAGGATTGGGGTGTAGCTATTTTATTCGTAGTGATTTGAGAAAGAACTGCTACGGGAAAGCGCCAAAAGCTACCAACTCTTAAGTTTCAAAATCGTGTTTAAACGGTGGTGGAAAGGTATGCAAAAACCATAAGTTAAGAGATCCGAAGAGGTAAAAACTTGCTCAAACTAGAATTGTAGAACCACTGTTTTGTTTTTCTCTCTCAGCATCTGCTAGAGTTTTTTGAATTCGTTTATTTCATCTGTTTTTGGTGGTTGACTGACTCAATTGAGAATGGTAAACGTGGAACCTAAGATGATGGAAAATCATTTCTCTCCTTTAGTCGGACTCGGGAAAGTGAACACTGCATTTGGGAAGACTAAGCAAACCATGTACTCAACAGTTTCCAAATCGACTACAGAAAGTGGTTTGTGAACATCGACTACATTAATTGGACTGCGTATAACAAAGTTTTCCTCGCAGTATCTTGCCATCCCCTCCACCATCCCCTTTTATCATTCCAAATAGGAAACCAAAAGGTGATTTTGGGACCTCAATTTTACTTATTTCAAATGGGAGGTGTTTTGCTAATTATCATTAGTCCTTTAGCTGACTTCGGGCTTCACAGAGAGGAGGAGGAGGGCATTAAAGTGGGAAAACGTCGAGAGGGAGACAGAAGATTGATTCACAGGTGTAAGAGGGACAGACGGACAGATACAAAGGTAGAGGGAAGGTAAGATGAGTACTGGGGTGGTGTAATATGACATACAGTCGGGTCATGATAGTTAGAAGCCAGAAGTCAACTGCCGGTTTATAGACTGTTCTGTCATTGGAGTAAACGTTGCCCAGGGTGTATTACGTGGAGGTAAGTCTATCGCACGTCCCGATTTTGGAACGTTGATTGACAAATGATTTCAAAATTGGATAAAGGGGGAAGTTCTCGCAGAATTCCCTCTAAGAAACTGTGCAAAAAGTGCCATCAAACAATCATTCTTTTGAAATTTTCAGGGGTTCTTGGTGCATGAAAGAGCAACTCCATCCAAG